GTTTGAATTAATAGTGTAAATAGTAGGCCATTTCTTCCATAAGCTATGTGTGAAAATAACACACCTCTGTGTGCTTTCGTTTCGGAGATATTCGAAATGGCGCACAGCACAGCAACATTTAAAGAAACGAAGTTAGGTTGCCTTCAGAAAAAATGGGACACTTTGTATAATCGAAAATAATTTTAGGATATGCAGATACTTATATGGTACCACTTTTGTAAGAAACCTTTTTTGATATCTTCAACTGTAAACCCGCTTGTTTGGGACACCCTGCATATTATTTAATTCTACTATATATATGAACAATAGAATATATTGTTTTTAGCTACTAGGAACACGTCTGGAGGAAATGATTAAAGAAGACAAACAACGTGAAAACTATATTCAATCTCTGGTTTCGGATGAAAGTAAACAAAAAGAAATGCTAATTCAAGACGAAGAAGAGGACTTTTTGGATGAAGGTTTTTATCAAAAGTCTTGTAATAGGTCGAAGCCGGATAAGATGAACAAATTGATACCTGAAAGGATATTTTTGTATTTTTTTCTTCGACTAAACTCTGCATCATCGTCCATAAAATTATCATTATCCATCTATTTCAACATGAAGAAGCTTTCAGATTAAAGTTTAAAAATAGATATATGCTGTATTGCAAGAATCAACCGTTGACCCAGCAGTATAGACACTCGACTTATGCTCTGCTGGGTTTATTTTACGGATGATGTGGTATTTCTTCTCATTGTTGTTTTTTATTTTTACTAATTTCCTTTTGACGTTCTTGTTTGGAATTGCGGTAAGGAAGCCAACACTCACTTTGCATAAACAATCAAGCAAGTACAGTAATATCCTATTAGTTGTAACCCAAACTAAATTATATCAACAATCAACGTCTTTTGAGTAACGCGGATAAACCTGGACTAATCAGGCGACCAATCATGTAGCGTTTCTTCAAACTATTTATACCTATTGAATACATTCAGGTATACATATATATGTAATGGTGTATTGCATATTATGGCTGTGCCATGGCTTTAGACTGTAAATTTGCAGTACACCTCAACGTCATAGTGTACTTATGCGAAAAGTCGGTGTACTTATAAGTGTAATCAGACACCAACAGAATATTAAATGTAATAGTTGGAAATTCAGAGTTGTTTTAAAGGTTAAAATACTGGTATGTGAGGGAAAAAAAAGTAGGGAAGAACTAATATAAAGATAGAAGGCAAAAATTAGAAGAAGTGGCTAATTTTAGTTATCTAGGAAGTCAGATAAGTCAGGACGGAAGGAGCAGTAGGGATATAAACCAGAGGATAGCGCAGGGTCGAGTTGCCTTCAATAAACAGAAGTCATTTCTATATCCGCGAACGGTTAATTTAGAAATTCGAAAAAGGTTGTTAAAGGTGTAAAAAAAAGGTTAGAAGCGTTCGAAATGTGGTGTTACAGACGACTGTTGAGGATAGAGAAGGTTAGAAATCAAGAGGTTTTAGAAAGAATAGGAAAACAGAGGACTCTATGGAAGTCAATAACAAATAGGCGAGATAAGTTGGTGGGACACCTTCTCAGCCATGAAAGTGTAGTCAGAGACATACTAGAGGCAAAAACAGGGGTTAACTTTTTGGAGATGTAATGACCAAGGAATTGTACCCACGAGACCATTGTGCTTTTTGCGTACGCGCCTATTATCGCAATGGTGATCCAATCATCACCGCTCAACGATTATATTGGGGAAAATTCAATGTATGGAATTCCCCTAAAATGCATCATAAAATGAATTTGAATGTTCGAGAATACCGGTTCGTTTGCAGAAATTTACAATCCAGGTCGCCTGCGCTCTGTTCGAACCCAATAACCGATTGAAGAAATGAGAGTGTCAGTGCGTGAAAATCCGTCTCAAGTAGTTCGCAAACGTAATGAAGAGCTTGACATTAAAAAATAGTCGAAGATTCTGAAGCAAGATTTACATCTTACAGCCTACAAAAGTTAGTTCAAAATCTTAGCGTTACCGAATATCCTCTTCGACTGAATTTTACAAATGAAATGCTTCAACCCATTCCAACATTTGAAAACGTTGTGTTTAGTGAAGAAGCAAATTTTCACTTAAATGGTCACGTAAACAAACAGAACTGTCGCTACTGAGCCAAAGAAAATCCAAGACATAAACATAAACAATCACTACATAGTCTAAAAATTATTAGGGGGGCTGCCATGCGTGAAGGCGTCATTGGGCCTTCTTTGTTTGAAGACCGGCGAGGGAGAATATTTAAAGTAAACAGTGACCGGTATTATGACATGTTAAGAACTGGTTCCACAACTGCAAGAGTTTGGTGTGGAAAGATGATTTCAACAGGATGGGGCCACTTTCCACAGCTCAAACCAATCGTTTGCGGTTGTCAATCAGCTTCTCTCGGAAAAGTGATCTCTCATCGAGGCACCAGCAACTGGCCTTCGAGAAGACCCCGATCTCACACCTCCTGATTATTTTTTATGGGGATACCTTAAAGAGAAAGTGTATGCAAACAAACCACGATCTCTACTGCTATTGAAGCACAATGTCCACACCGAAATGGCCGCCGTTTCCACAGTTGTGTAGACGTGTGGTGGCTAATTTCCGTTTTGGGTTGGAGGAGTGCCAGCAGTGCGAGGTTGAATATTTAGACAACATCATTTTTGGCATTTAATTTTCCAAAACTTTATCTAAAAATTATCAAAAAAGATTTTTTTCTGAATGTTTTTTTATTGAATATACAAACATCCCCTATCTGGGCACCCTGTACATATATTTTATTGTATCTTATTTAATACTTATTCAAACCTATTGGGCATTCCAAATGACGGTGCAATGGCATGGATGATGTCCAATATATTTTGCGACATAATAAATAAATTTAAATACAATTTTCAAGATTATTCATTATTGTTTTCTACAGAAGCACCAACAATCAGTTCGGTAGTAAGCACTTAAACAAATAAGTTTACTGACTTTGAGGTATGTCAGCAACTTCAACTGACAAAAGCAAATAAGATAACAAAAGTGTATTTCCTAAGAGTATTCATTGTTTATCAGTAACTCCATATCAAGTGGAGGAACTTATGTATGTGTATAAAATGAATTAAAAATCATATTGAGGGGAAGCTCTACCCAATAAATTTCTCCAAATCCTACCATAAAAGTCAAAATAAGCAAATATAGTATCTTTAGTAGCAGAGGGTGTTTTCAATTATTATCTGTATTGAACGAACTGAAATTATTAGAAGAATGCACACTTAGTAAAAGTGAATTCCAGTTCATTGTCAGTCTGTATGGTAATGCGTACCATAAATAATTGATCATAAAAATAGAGCTGACCTCTAGGAGATAAGGATTACGCATGCTGTATGGTATTTGGCCCTTTACTCCTATTTCTGCTGCTAGTTTGCCTTTAACTAGCCCTTCATATATCAGAAGGTGCTCGTCCTTCTTGTCTCTCCTGTCTCTTGCTGACTTACTTTACTCTCCTACTCATTGTGACACCACCTCATTTCTAATCTCTTCTGTCTACACAGTATAATTTTATTTTGGTACACTTTCAGAATTGGGAAGTTATTATTATTATTATTTCTTTGAGTACTTCAAATGCCAGAAGCATCCTTTTATTTTTCTTTTTCATTGTTTCCCCAATTATTTGGCAGTGCTCAATCCATTCCTCCATATTTATATTCTTACATGTGCCTTCGTTTTTCATTCTTTGTCCATTTGTAATTTTTTCCGTTGTATCCTTTCTTGCTTCTGTCGGATCATTTCCAATCAATCGTCTATTTTTTTGTAATTTTTCTTACATTCACAGTACGTATTCTGTTGTTATTTCTTCTTTTTTTATGTATTATTTCNTCTTGCTGACTTACTTTACTCTCCTACTCATTGTGACACCACCTCATTTCTAATCTCTTCTGTCTACACAGTATAATTTTATTTTGGTACACTTTCAGAATTGGGAAGTTATTATTATTATTATTTCTTTGAGTACTTCAAATGCCAGAAGCATCCTTTTATTTTTCAAATAATTCTATCCGATTAAAAGCCTTGTTGTTAAACCGAATGATATTTTAGGGCATAAAAAAAGCTTTGCGGTTTATAATTAAAAAGAAATGTAAATTTTAGTCTTAAAAGTCTCGACAGTACATTTTCAGCTCGGCAGAAATTTACAGACCTCTTTTTAGACTTCCATATTGGATCAAAAACTGATAGCTAACCTCTTTTACATGATACTAGATTTTATTTTTTATTGTTTATTTTTTGTGTGATTCAGGGTATTTACGTTGAAAGATAAACTCTAGTAGCCGTTTATTCTTTTAACGTTTAAATATTGAATAAACTAAGATATAAGAAATAAAACACTTGGTACACTTATGTTTCACTAAACTGAGAAACAAAAGTGTACCAAGTGTTTTATTTCTTATATCTTATTAAATATGTTTCACCAAGTGCCTAGCCAAGAATCAATTTCTTACATTGAATAAAATAATTCACTATTTGTGGAAATCGGTCACTGTAGAACAGTTGTTACAATAATGTGAAATAATACATATCTAAGGGTTTGAACCATATCATCGCTGTAGGAAGAAATCTTCGATTTCAGAGAAAATAATCCTGAAAATCTCATATCATAGTATGGCAAATTTTTAAAAGAACAGTTGCTGCACCCTTATCATTTGCAGCAAGCTCAAGCCTTACTTGAAACTGATTTTCAGCTGCGAGTGGATTTGTGTTGGTGGTTTTGAAAACGCTGCATAGCCTAACTTTTGTCATATTTCACAACACTAAAATATTCCATAAGCCATAGAGCTCATGAAGAGTGTTTTACCACTCCCTGGAGTCACTGCTTCCAATAAAATTGCAGTACATCTAACCCGGCTACGACTTTTCATCTTGGTAACAAATAAGTTTTCCTTATATTATAGACTGTCATGTAATTAAATATTTTGCGGAAGAATTTTAATTAAAAAGGTACCACTTTTGACACAGCAAGCATCAATTTGTACGGATCAAGTTCACCAATGGCTTTACGATTCGTGGCTTGTATTCTGTTGTACGAAATAACAACATTCCTTCGAGAAACGTATCAGACATTGCCTAAATCTTCACGTATTTACGGAAAAGAGAAACCTCATCCTTGGGACAAGCATTATAATAAGGAAGCCAATCGACGATGGAGCATGGCACTTTCTTCAATGGGTCATTCGCAGACCTCAGCTCAAAGTCTTCAATCCATTGCTGGAGAAAGAGATAGTAAGTATTTATTTCATATTAAAAATATGCTTTTAACTCTTATAAATNAGCTATGTACGATATCATAATAAGAATATTTTCGTGAAAGAGGGGAATCTTCCAAAGACGCGCAGCCGTTCTTACAGCTGGCTAGTGTCGAATTCCCGAGGAAGAAGTCTCAGGACCTACTGACTAAAACCCCTTTGTCTCAGGTAGTTCCATGACCGCTTCAGAACAACTTCCATAATATCAATTGATACTGGTTGCAAAACAGTAAAATCAACTGCCACTTCTTAGATTTATGTATTCATATTGTAATGTTCGTGAATTTAACAAATAAAAACTTTTAAGACTAATAACGACAAAAACTATTTATTTACACCAATTATTAAAGAACTTAAAAACGCTATTCACTGCGCTATTTATTTCACTGCAATCACTGTCAATTTATTTCTGGATTCACTTATGCAACGGTCAATTTATTTCTTCTTCTTCTCGGCGATCGTCTCTTCCTTTAAATATCTTCTGTTTACTTTCGGGAACCTTCTGGAAATATCCGGATAGTTTATTTTTTCTTTGGATTGTTTAACTGCCTTCTCAGAACGCAGTTACAATACACACATTTACAAATACGGCGCACATGAAGAAATGCGTTGGCGAATCGATAAGCCGTTCACGCACACGTGTGCCCGATCACATACAAACACACTCGTGCTCGCTGCAATATGTGTGTATGTATCTTGCGAAATGAAATGCGGCAATGAATGTAAATCAACATGTAAGGAAATAAACAAAAACACTCAATTAGAACAGTACAATGCGATAAACAGTTTAAATTCTTATGCGTCCCAACATAGTCGAAGTCGGTTTTGTAGTTGTGTCCAAAATCCCTGACGGCGATTATAAACTTCCTGCAACAATAGGTGTTTGCCACACCTAGGCCCCGGCTAAATAATCAGGCATTCTATGCATTGACCATATGCATAGATCGCTCCCAATACTTATCTTGACATTGGCAAGCTAGCTCGACTGGAAGTCCTTGTGACGATATCACGGCAGCTCTACCTACACTTAGGCTACTGCTGTAGGTCAAGGAATGGACTTCTACCCTCATTAACACACGTCACCCACAGGTGCACTGACACTCCAGGTATATCTAGCTAGATCTGCAGTGGATTACCTGACGCACAGGATTTACACTCCGTACTATGAGTGGCCAAACTTACAATTAGGCATGNGACGATATCACGGCAGCTCTACCTACACTTAGGCTACTGCTGTAGGTCAAGGAATGGACTTCTACCCTCATTAACACACGTCACCCACAGGTGCACTGACACTCCAGGTATATCTAGCTAGATCTGCAGTGGATTACCTGACGCACAGGATTTACACTCCCCTAAAGGTGTCTCCGACCAGTCGGCCGTCCACCTTACACTTCTACAGGCCTTAAATTACCACAATAACAACACTTAAAATACATAATATGTGCACAATAACCAACTTCTCAATATTATCAAATATTAACTGCCGTTACGGCACCGTACTCTCACCAGAGTATCCACCGCCCTTACGGCCTTACGCCCTTACAGCGCTTTCACATCCTTACACGCTGACTGCCACTTCACCTCTGTCCTCTTAAAAGCTCTCAACCGCCCTCTTTGGTTTCATTCTACTTATATTAGTCATTAATATTTGGTTAGTCCAAATAGTAAAAAAATGTCGAATAAATAACATTCCTACATAGTAAGAAAACTCGATAAGCATTCGGTCTAAAGCATTGGGAATAAACTCGTGAAAGTTTGAGTCGGTTTGATTAGAAACGTGTGCGAAGGGAACGCACGAAATGAAAAACCACCCTTTTTCACAACACAATCTTTCCCCTTCACCTTGTTTGGTCANTAAAGCATTGGGAATAAACTCGTGAAAGTTTGAGTCGGTTTGATTAAAAACGTGTGCGAAGGGAACGCACGAAATGAAAAACCACCCTTTTTCACAACACAATCTTTCCCCTTCACCTTGTTTGGTCACTCATATTCCTCACATTCTATCGTTGGCCCTATCTTTGGTATAGAGAAGGACACTCACAATGGAATCGTAGATTAGTTTTGAGCGTCTTTCTGTGTACTAATTTCTAGCATGTGCATGGAGTTTGATGTAGGATACTAGAGTACTGATATCTACATCCTACATTCTACAAAAGTCACACAACGGCAAATTAAAAGTGAATGTAATAGGACACAATTCACTTTTCTAACCTCCAAATCCCCAAATGTTTCGTGAATATTAAAACATTAACAGGAAAGAAATATTACATTATCGTTTATTTCATTCGTAGTACCCATAGCTTTGTTTCTAGTATAGAGTTAGAATGTTTAAATATTCACAAATGAGATGTTCTGTTTATGGACTTGTTTGTTTTTTCATGTAAAGAATCACTTGCGGTGCGTGTTGTAGGTACCATCATATAAATTTAATTTGTCAGTCTTTTTTTAAATTTGATATGATGTATGCAACGCTGTACCACAAAAATAACGTATTCATTTAAACCCATCATTAAATATCGTTTTTAGGTCAAACGGAAAGAAAAATAAGCTTCGTACTTCACGAACCTGATAACGGTTCGGAGGGTAGTAGCGGCGCTGCCGTAACAGTTCAGGTATCTAACTCTTTTGCGTTCTATTTACTGATGTATGTATACAAGATTGTCAGTTTTATTCTGTCTCTAGGGAGAAGACGGTAAACGCGTCTTGCAACAATCAAGACCCCATTTACTACGACGCAGTACTGCAGCAGCAACTGGCGGCTCTTTCAAAAGAAGGAGCCTGAAGCTACGTCGAGGAACTAAAGATGGAAAAGACGTAGAAGCTGAATGTACATATCCCAAAGTTTTAATAAAAGATCACCAGGGATTCAAAAAGATCTTGCCTTTTTGATGATGATCAACATCCTTAATCAATTAGTAATATTCTCTTTTATTTCAGGGAAACCACCAGAGGTAGTAAAACGAACTGATTCCATTCAGTCAAAGAGGAAGGTAAGTTCGCTATCTGACCGAAGTGATAATTCTGAACCTGGAAGAGATCCTGAAGGAAGTGGAGAAGACTCACCAGGCGGCATGAGTGATGAGCAGCCTCCAGAAAGTCCTACCGATAGTAATGATGCCGATGATACTGCAAGGAATATGCCTTGGTTGAAAGTAAAAGACGTGATAGCAATTATTTGTACATATACATAGAATATCGAAATTCAAATATATTTTAGGTGATGGTTCAGGTTTCTCATTCGTGTTATTACTATTGCACTCATCAGAATTTTTGTCATCCATATTGTTACAGAAGGGTAATGAGAGCTACTTCGAGACTTATAAAGGCAGTTCGAAAGGTACACAACTATTTATTATCCTGAAAATACCTAAAAGTTTTGTGTACTGACACTGGTTTGTAGGTTTACGGAGATGAATTCGGTATTTTGGAAGACAAATTCGATAAAAATTTCGACATTAAGGCCAGAAAGAAGAAAAAGGATAAAGGTCAAAATCGAAAGGTGTCTGACCAAACAAGTTCTCAGGTTTCTCCAATACGAAGGAAGGACAGTATGGCGAGCAAGGACAAGTACCTTATAGACGTAACTTAACATTTAACTCCTTCACTTTAAATTCGTTATTTTCAGAAAAAGCAGTTCAAAAAATTCGTCAAAAGATCTTTTAAATTCCGAAACTGATAAGGAGCGTAAAAAGTCAGAACTTGATAAAAGTAAAGAACAACCGCCCATTTTGAAGTACATCAAAGCGATGGTTAATAAATAAAAATTTTATTAACCTCACATATTTACGTTGCCTTCTATAAATTTATTTACAGGTAAAAGATGGATTCCAAGCTCCTCTCTCAACTTTACTCAAAGGAGCGGTAATAATGCAAGAGGAACATTTCTTAGATATTATGCCCGTGGCCTGGGAACTGCTTTTGGAATGGAATCAAGAAGTGGCTGCAGCTGCGGCTTCTCTGTTTATTCTGTGCTCCGTTAAAGTTCCTCAGCAAGTCTGTGAACTTATGCAATATAATTTAACTCATTCTGAAACTCAAATTCGAATAAATTCAGTCTTAAGGTGAGCATATTACCTTCATTAATAAATTAATTATTAAAAAGTAAAAGTACAAATGGAAGTTGGAATATTTCCAGTACATCAAGAACTGGAAAGTAGAGTCTGTTTCATAATAAGAGCTATCAAAGTAATGATTTAAATGTTATTTTTCATAAATTACCAGCCTCGCAATCCTTCTAGTGAAATGAAAAGTTTTATTGATAATGAGGAAAATACTTATAAATTGAAAGCGTAGAGTAAAGGTTAGTTGTGAATAGGCGCACCGCGACTTAAATCAAATGTTAGCAAGACTATTCGAGAAAGCATGTAAACCTGGATATAAGCGAAAAAAGAAAACTGTCAATTTATCGTAGGTGCAAATTCCTGTCCACGAAATGCAAAAAGTATGGAGACTTATTCGTTGAATGAACGTGCAAGCGAGAGGTACGCCTGAGTGCTACGAGTGATGCACGTAGGGTATGAAACCCATCTTATCAATGGTAGACAGAAAGCGCTGCGCGGGTAATACGCAATAATATTGTTAAAGATACGCAGTGAAATGATGCTTTTACTAAAATCCTCTACATTCTTTTCTGACTATTTTATATGCTGCATAAGGGTATAGTTGAGAAAATATCTCGATGCTGAAATTCATACTAGCCTTTCTTAGGATTACTGCAATTATGCAATCTCTGCGGTTTTTGTTCTAAATAATATCAAAGCAGGCATTTCCATTGAAAAGCAGAAACAGTAGGCTTTTCTCTGATACAAATTGGATTATTGATAGGATGGCTAATGATGATATCTACAAAACAAAAATTATTTTTTTTTTAATTCGATCAAAACATCCTGTCCAACAGGAAATAGATTAAACAAAGTACTGCACTTTATAACTAGACACAATAGTTCATGACTATACCTAAAATATGATAAAATTGTTTTATATGCCTATTGAATGAAACATAAAACATAAAAGCGTGTGAGAAAAAATGGTTCATAAAGTGTCTATTAAAAATGTTAACCTCTCAAAGTTTGAAATATTACTAAGGAGGAAAAGACACGAATCATAATCAACATAATCATACTCATAAATCGCCAATAATTACTACACCGGGAATGATAATCAAACTGGAGCCTTGCAACTTTGTGTGGAAAAATTACCCATTTAATCGATCGTTAGCATTTGCTCATTTTACTTTGATTTAAATTTTTCTCTTCATTACATATGTCTGAATGTCCGCAGGCGATAATTGTAAAAAAAACGTGTTTGATAGTAATATCATAAGCCAGGAGTTCCATTTCCCATTCTTGCAAGCTTAGAAATAGGAATTTTAAGAGTACGAAACCACTCGAAAGTATTCTGATTAGATAATTATCTTGAGCGGAAGTCCATTGAGGTTACAAGGGAACGTTCTTATGACCCAAATGACAGTTAAACACTCATTTTCAGTAGTTGCGTACCTCAGTTCCACGTTACGCAAAGGTTTACTATTACACGTAGCTAATTGAATATTCACGCTTTTTCGCCTTTTAGCGCCAAAATAGCACCTACTCCACTATCGCTCGCGTATGTAAAAAGAATGAATGGTACATTTGTTATGGGCGCTGTTAGAGTGAGCGTTTGGNACTAATATAAAGAGTGTTCCATTTGAAAAATGAAATGTTTTCGCAAATAACGGAAAGTAGTAGCAAAAAGATGACTACGTCACTGGATTCTATAGAAGAAAATATGTAAGAATACGTTTTAACTTATCGGATAAGTTTAAAGATAACTGTGATACGGGGAGGGTGCCTCAAAGGTGATATTTTGCAGTTCCACCCCGTATCTTAAAAGTCAAACGATATATTAAAATTTTTCTGGCGCCATCTTTAAAATTTAGCACATGCTGCGAAACCCTCTATNCATTTAATCGATCGTTAGCATTTGCTCATTTTACTTTGATTTAAATTTTTCTCTTCATTACATATGTCTGAATGTCCGCAGGCGATAATTGTAAAAAAAACGTGTTTGATAGTAATATCATAAGCCAGGAGTTCCATTTCCCATTCTTGCAAGCTTAGAAATAGGAATTTTAAGAGTACGAAACCACTCGAAAGTATTCTGATTAGATAATTATCTTGAGCGGAAGTCCATTGAGGTTACAAGGGAACGTTCTTATGACCCAAATGACAGTTAAACACTCATTTTCAGTAGTTGCGTACCTCAGTTCCACGTTACGCAAAGGTTTACTATTACACGTAGCTAATTGAATATTCACGCTTTTTCGCCTTTTAGCGCCAAAATAGCACCTACTCCACTATCGCTCGCGTATGTAAAAAGAATGAATGGTACATTTGTTATGGGCGCTGTTAGAGTGAGCGTTTGACGAAACGTTTCTTTAACTTCTAAGAACAATTCATTTGTCCAGACGAAAGGTACCGTTAGACTCGCTAGATAGTGTTAAACGGAACGCCCAACCAACCAATGTTAGCAAATGGATCAGCGCTCGCTGAACGAACGTAGCAAGCAACATGTCAGTTGTAGCTTGTAGCACGTCATATCACTGCAATTAAAGTAAAACATTCTCTATTTCCTTTTCATGCCACTTGATGTTGCTTCTCATTTGACTGTTGATTAACCAAAAATGAAAGATGATCCAAATTTTAAAATTTGCTTTCTTTACAATGATTGATGTAGGTCTCTTCATTTATAATTACATATATGGCGATGTTGTAGCTTTAGAAAAATGCGAAGATTATCTCAGTCCTAAGACTGATTACCTTATGACCTTATGAAGATGATGATGTGGTGAATATTCAAATAAGAATGTGCAAGACAGATCTAGGGAAAGACATTATATGCGTCGAGTGTTCGTTTGGTTTTCCAGTAGAGATGTATTCAGTGTCTTCCTTTTAGACGGTATTAATTTGTACTTATTGAATCTAATATATCTTCATCGAATGACATTATAATACTTACTGCTGCCACGTTATACCTGAGTGCGTTGAAAAAAAGTTATGTCATGTCACTTTCATGCCAGAACCACGCTTCTGCTATGTTTTAAAGCTATGCCTCTCCGGGCGCTCCCCCTTAAGGTGCGGATGATACCTATTTATTGACCCACTGAACCACGTAATCCTTTACAATGCCAAGGTAGGAGCAGCTCTTTCCGAGTTTAGTTTAAGATCATCTCTACTCAAAAGAAATCTTAAGAGTTCGACATGTTAACGAGCTAATGTGATTTCTTCCCATTTAATTTTAACCTTGTATCATTTAAAGCTATAAACAAAATTTTCAATAGTGTTAAATGATATTAAAAAGTATTGGAAACTACAATCTAGTCATCTTGAAAAAAAAATTCTCGGGCACATACGTGAATACAGTTAACGAATCTACGCTTAAGTTCATCTAACAATGCTTCCACTTCTGGCCTACAAACTTTTCATTTTCTAAAGCGTTCTCGTCTATTACACTAAACCATTATTCTCCGTAGCAATCAAGAACATCGGTACAACTCCTAATGCTAATTGAACTCCATAACGGGTAATTCCAAATGTAGACTCGCGACGATGAAAAGCACGTACCTACCGTCCAATGGTGTCCACGAAGGAATTAACACTTCCAGTGTCTCCATAGATTTAATTTGTATATTTAATTGCTGACTGACATCTCGAAAGGATTTTATCGAAGAGCATCGTCACAGGACATACAAATTTGTAAAATTAACAAGAGCATTTGCTATATTTATTCCTACTCGGTTCGTTTTCGTCTTCGGGCTCAGTACAATCTCCTTCAGAGCCTGAATAAACGCATTATTGTCGCTTCATGCTTCCTTTAATCCACTCTACATGTGCTTTCCCGTTTCTAGCAACTCTGCTGATTCAAAATGACGTGATTTGAGGCAGTGTCAGGAAGAGAACTTTGCTTTGTTTGCCCTGACATAGCTAGAATCGATTTTGTCGCGAGATTTGTCTCTACTTTAGCCCGTCCGCCAGCCAGTAATGCTGGTGGACGGACAGTTCCTTCAGACTACGCCGGAAGGCCTTCTTCAGCCTCCTTTCAGGAATCGTGGGAATGGTTGGGTGGTGGTTCGGGTGAGAAAGACGAGACGGACGAAATGAAGACAGACAAGAATGAAAGATTTTCTGTAGAATATTACTGCCCCAGCATTTACTTAAGTGATCCAAGGAAACCACAGAACAACTTGGACCAAAGCAGACGGACCCGGAATCGAATTGGCGTCCTCCTGAAAGCTAAGCAATGGTCTAAACATCTAGGCCATGCCGCTCAGTCACAGTCTCAATAAGTTTTCCGTCACAACCTTGGTTTCTATACCTAAAGATGCATTTTCGATAATAATCGTTTAATTAATTGTAACGGCCCTAAGATAATCATATCGATTAAATGTATCTTTCGTTTGTTCGACCATTTCACGAAGTGAAGGTGTACCAGCGCCCCCCCCTTCTACTGTTTAGCTGCACTGTTTGAATTAAAAGTAGTAGAAGTAGAGTTTTAACTCTTACTATATTTACTCTTATCAAATTTCTGTTGTTGAAGACCTATTTCAGACATTAATTTACACAACAAAATGTTCATCTCTGTCTCAATAAGTTTTCTCGTGGAATTATTTACATTATTATTTAACACTTGATCAGTATTGTTATTATTGCAGCTCTTATTCTTTTTGTTATCTTCGAAAGTTACTAACTGCTATTATTATTTGTTTTGTTATCAAATTCATTAATTTATTACACACCTGAACTATCTCCGTCAAAGTATCTAATAGTTTATCTCTTTAATTTCCCATAGATAGATATATAGATAGCTTTATTAAAGACATTATGTTTCATATACATATATTTACAAGGTGCATTGTACATTTAGGTACTCTATACATATAGATTCACGAATTTTATAATTTTTATTCTTTATGCTTTTCTGCTATTTTCCTCATACATAATATTCATCTTTTAGTACATCCTTTTCTTTAATTTGAAATTCTCTTCTACCTCCCAGTACCTTCATGTCCTTTTCTCAGTTCTCA